TTGGGAGCCTTGGTGGAAGAGTAGGTGGCGTTGGTGGGCGAGATGGCCCGATTTTCCAGCGACGCCAGTCAGTTGAAGAGGCAGTGTCAGGGAAGGGTGGAAAGACTATCCCCAGTCAGGCCGGAGTTCTAACCCCGTGCTGGACTTCTGCTCCTCAGCTGCTGGGCAGTTCGTCTGATCGCTGCAGGTCTCAGGTGTGCCATCTGTAAAATGGGTATATGAATACTGCTCCTCAGAGCTGCTGTGGGAAAGGGAGATGAGACCTGAGGACCCAGTTCAGAACCTGGCCCAGGGCACTCAGGAAGAGGTGGCCGTTGGGTTAGTATCATGAGTGATTTTTTTTTTTTTTGAGTGAAAGGCTATTGTTGGTGACTAAGGGAAAATATTTTCTGGAGCAAAGATAGGCAACTGAAGACTACATTTCAGCTTGCAGAATGATGGCTCCCCAAAGTAGCTTTTGGCTTTTCGCCTTCTTTCCTTTTTTCTTTTCTTTAATCCTCATTCGAGGATACTTTTCCATTTACCTTCAGATAGAGTGGGAGGGGGAGAGAGAGAGAAACATCGGTGTGAGAGGGACACATCGATTGGTTGCCTCCCGCATGACCCTGACCAGGGCCGGGGTCGAACCGCAACCGAGGTACGTGCCCTTGGCCAGAATCAAACCCGCAACACTTTGGTCCATGGGCCGACACTCTAACCACTGAACCAAACTGGCCAGGGCTACTTTTCACTTTCTTTAACTTGACCAGTCTGGATACTCTTGTATCCAGTCTGGGGCCAGAGCCCGTGGCTCCCTCCCCATACTCCACAGTTGTTCTCTCTCTTCCACGTGACCCGAGTTTCTTAGTCACCTGCTAAATGTTTGCTGAATGAAAAATGGGATGGAGTAAACGGCCTCAGAGGGAGTGACCTGGGGAGGATGTGTTTCTTCTCCAGACTGTTAGAGTAGCATCCCGCTTTCCCCCTCGCAGGTGTTGAGAAATGGGATAAGTTTAACGTGGGCTAAAAGGGCATAAGGGGGCCTGTGGGGGAAATCCTCCAGGGATTTGCTCCATATGACCAGCACTTTCTGGTGACAAGGGGCCCTGAGCCAGGCCGAGGGACGTGTGCACATGGAGAGCTGGAAGTGTCCTGTGACCCACTTATAATGCTCTCAGGAGATCTGCCGTTCACGTGCGGAACAGTTGGGCACCACGGCGTTGATCCCTCACGCAGCCCAAGGAGGCAGGCTGCTCAGAGCCCCACCTGGCTGGCAAGGAAACCAAGGTCCCAGGAGGGAGGCAAGCGGCGTGAGGGCACAGGAGTGCGCACGCGGACGAGGACCGCAGTCTGACGTGCCACCTCCCAGACCAGGCTCTCCCCCACGCTGGTTAGGATCAAGGGTCTAGGCACGGGTGGTGGCACAGTGCCGGGTTCGAGGATAAATGAGGACACAGAACCGATTCAGTGGGCCCCCAGCTCTGAGAATAATTCACCCTAGCCAAGTCATTCTACCCTGTGCTCGAGAGACAGCGCAGAGTCGGCTGAGGATAGTAAGTGTGATCAGTAATGATAGTGATGAACGTGCTGCCTACAGGATTCTAAGCACGTTATGTGTGTCACCTCCCTCAGTCCTGCAGGGTAAGTGGGGTTAATTAGGGGGAGAGGGAGGCGCTGGGACAGCACAGCCATGTGGCTGCACAGTGGGGTCAAGAAACTCAGCAGATGGTGAGCCCAGAACACAGCAGGGCAAGGTGAGGCGCTGAGGAGGAGCCGGGGCAGGCCGCGCAGGGCCTCGGGAGCCCGGGGTAAGGAGTGTGGTCTCCATCCCGAGACAGACGAGGCATCCGTCAGCTGCTTCCACCTTGTAGCCCCTCCGTTCACATTGTCCTGTCTCACACTCAGGCTGTTAGGTGTCTTTCTCCTTCTTCACACCATGGATTACTAAGGGGAGGGACTGGGTCTTATTTGTGTCTATCTGGTGCTTAGCACAGAATCAGGTACCAACAGGTACACAGTAAGTGGCTGTTAATCGAATATTTAATATAGTATTTAATATTTAATAATATTAACATGTTTAATATTTAAGGGCTATATATATTATACATTTGTTATATATAGTTACTAGTACCTATAATAGCTTTTCCATTCTGTAAGCATTTCTGCAATAGAGTGATATACGCAACCCTGTAGAACAGTGGTTCTCAGCCTTCCTGATGCCGCGACCCTTTAATACAGTTCCTCGTGTTGTGGTGACCCCCAACCACAAAATTATTTTCGTTGCTACTTCATAACTGTAATTTTGCTACTGTCATGTCTTAGGCGACCCCTGTGAAAGGGTTGTTCGACCTTCAAAGGGGTCGCGACCCACAGCTTGAGAACTGCTGCCGTAGAACCTTGCATTCGGGAAAATTCAAAAATCACAGCACTTTGGGGGCAGTTGGGGCGCAGCAGAGCTTCACAATCCATGCAACACCCTGACGAAGCCCAGTCCAGAGAAGAGATTGGCACAGTTCAAAGGGCTTGCTAAAATATCGATTCAAGAAAACCACACACACAATAATTGAGGACCTGAGTAACTACAGGGCTGTATTTTCCAAACCAAAAGGGGGGTGTTGCTGGAGGACCTCGAGCAGAGTGGAGGCAGAAGGGGACTGGCATCCTTTCTGGGAGTTCCGGGGGGCAGAGCACTTGCAGGCTTTGCCAAAATGCGCAGGGAGGCACGGGCTAGCGCGCGGCCTTTGCTCAGAGGTCAGGGAGAACTGAGCCACGAGCGACCAAGGCAGAGCACGTGGCCCCGCAGCCAAGGGGAGCGGGTGGATGTCTGGACAGCAAGGAGTCCTCTGCCACGTGCTGTTTGGGGTATTTTGCATCCAGCTGCTGTCACTTGGTGATGCAAAACATTACTGTGGTGGGAACGTTTGCCTAGGGACGGGTGCAGCCTGCGCATTTTATTGACCTCTTTCCCCACACGCCCTGCGTGCTGTCTTCTGTCTCATGGAAGCAAGTGCAGCAGGACAAACAATATGTAACATAACGTGTGCGTGGTGCACAGATAAACCAGGAATGCCAGCTGGCCAGTTTACTTCGAGAAAGGCACCAGTCACACTCTCCATGGGGGTTTCTGACCGCTTTCCTCTTAAGGGTCCAGGAGTCCGTTCAGGAAACCCATTCGGTGAGAATGTAGAGCAAGACCGTCTAGTTGGGTGACACTGAGCGAGGGCATCGTGCACCTGTGATGCGATCTCTTTCCCCATCAGGAGCAGCTGAGCAAACACCTCTGGGCTTGGAGTCAGAGGACCTCCACCCCAGCCTGCCCCAAAGCTGTGTGACTGCAGGAAAACCACTTAACCTCTCTGTGCCTCCGTTTTCTCAACGGTAGAATTGCACGCATGATACTCCCCCAGTTCTTTTAAGGAGCAGATTAGCTAGTGGCTGGAAAGCTCTATGCAGACTGTAAAGGGTTTTGCAGAATATTGTCCAGCCAGTGCCTGGAATTCAGGTTCGCTGGTCTCCTGGGGAACCAACTCCCACTGGACGGTCAGTCTGAGGGCAGTGGGCAAGAGAGCTAAACTCCCTGGAGTCAAGGTAAATTAATCACTGGAATTAAATGCAGAAGCTTGAATTTCCCTGCAGGAAGGAGGCTTAGAAGTTCTGTCTGGGAAATTTTGCTGGCCCTTGACAAAAGTGAGGAGGAGGGGAACCCTGTCTCCAGTATCCGTTGCCTCCTCTGAGCACCCTCCAGTACACCCGGACTCTCGGACCTGAGATCACCCGCCCACCCATCCCTGGCTGAGTGCCCGTCCCACTTCCTGCCCCCAAGCCAGGCCTGCCTGCACCTCCACCCTCTCCAGCCTGGGAATCACGTGACCTCGGGTTTGACCCGCCTTACGTCTTACCCGCTCTGACACCACGGTGGCCAGGGTCTGGCTGCATTCAGCCCATTTTCCCACCTGGAGAACAGGCTGCGACTCCCTGACTCGGACTCACTGCCTTCCCTCCTTCCGTGATTAAGAGGAGAGTAGATGAGCACTCTGCAGACTTCATTGTGCCCGGGAATCACCCAGGAGCTTGTTAAAAAGCAGGCTCCAATCCACAGGGCTGGTGGGGCCTGAGAACCTGCCTTTCCAATGAGCCCCAGGTGCCTCGTCCCCCTGCGCAGCGAGATGCAGCTCAGACGTGCAGCACCTGCTGCGTGGCGGATACTCGGTCAACAGCAGCTATTGCCATTAAGGGGATCCCCCACCCCATTCAAAGGGTTCTCTGGGAACAGGGATAGATGAATGAAGAAACCTCTCCTCACCTCCATATTCTTAGGGAAACAAGAAAAAACATGTTTTGCTCTAACAGCGGGCTGGGTGTGGGGAGCGAGGCGACTGGGACCCCGCACCTCACCTGCACGCAGCTCCGTGGCTCCGTGAGCACACATGCACTGCAGGTGGGCCTCTGACTGCTGCAGAAACCTCTAGAGCTCAGGCCTCAACTTGCCTGGCAGGGAAGGCACCCTCCGAGCCCGGCACACCCCTTGTTCCTCCGGCTCCAGCTCTCCTGGGGAGTTTTCAGAACACACAGGGTTCACTTGGCAGGAGGCCCACAGTATCTTTTAAACTTGAGTCTTGCGCACAGGGTTTCCCCCCCACCCTGATCAAAATGGAACCCCAAAGGGCCCTTGGCTGTTAGGAAGAGACACCAAAGCCTGGAGGAGACTCCAGGTGAGGTTCGAGAATCACCTCCCCACCCCAGCCCACCAGATCTTGCTGAGACTGTGGCTCCCCGAAAAGGCCTGCTTCTTAGAAGCTGCTGACTCACCCAGGGTGAGGGGCCTAGTCTTCTCTCAGCATCGCCACCAAGCCCAGAGATTTGGAGGCTGGTTGAGTGAGCGGCTCCGTCCTCACCATTTCCTTTTCTTTTATTGAGCCCACCTCCATCCCAGTCCCCCAGTGATACTGTCCTGCCAGAAAAGAGATTGGACACCCAGTGGCTCTGCCCTGCTTTTAATATTGAGTTTCTCTTCTTTGTAGGTCTTGACGCACTGACTGGTCACAGAGTCAAAGTGTAAAAAGATTCCCACGATGTAAGCACTACGGGACTGGTGAGTGACTGGCGTCCGGCGGAGGTCGGGCCGGAGGTGGGGGCCTCAGTTGCGTTTCAAGAAGGGAAAGATGGATGGAAGGAGCAGGGGCAGCTCTGGAAGTATTCCCCTCCAGGTGCACCTGGGAACAGCACAGAGCAGAGATCCAGGTGTGAGTCCCTTGCAATCACTGGGTCCCTGCCAGGCGCCCCCAGAGGCAAACCGCACCTGCAGGTGGCTGGGCTGTCCTCTCTGCTGAAACCACAGCAGTTCAGACTCACCATCCAGAGGGCATGTGTGTGGAATTGTTTCTAGGGAACGTCTAACCCGGGCTCAGGAGACACTCTTAGAACGGGAACTGTCTGGCTCGCACCAGTTAGTAAACCACAGCTCCGAAGAGGCAGGGACGGAGAGAGGCTCGGAAGCCACCTTTGCATGTTTAAAGGGCTGCAATTGACAAGAGGAAGGTGGATAGCTATCGACCTAACCGAAGCAAAACCCCTAACCGAGGAGGTGTGCCAAGTGCAATGGGCATCCAGTGGAGGTAGTGAGTTCCCTGCTGCTGGCAGAATGCAAGTGCAGGTTGGAGAAGCATTAAAGGGAAATGTTAAAGTGGGGGAGGTTTTGAGCAGGACTGTCTTTCCAGGCTCTGTTCCTGGTGACCTGGACGCCCGGGGGCAGTAGGGTGAGGGAGGGCTTAGAGGGCGTGAAGGGGGCGAGGGCGTGAAGGGGGCGAGCTCTTGAGCTCACGCCCACGCTCTCTCGACACCTGCTCTGTGTGGCGAGGTTCTGCTGTGAAAATGTTCAGATGCTGCTGGCTGAGATGACCCTCAGGTCTCTCCTAAGACGTGCTGTTCATTGGCCAGGTGTCCCTGAGCCAACGCCAGACAGCTGCACACATCCCAGATGTGACCCCACACACCTATGTCTGTGATGGCAACTCTCCAAGCACAGTGGGGGTTTTGATCACAGCCTCTGAGAGGCCCTTTTGTACCAGGTCCCCAAGGGATTTACCAGCTTGCCACACCATGGAGATTGGCCCAGGGTCCAGCCACGCAGATCAGAAGAAAAGGCGTGGGGAGCCCTGTGGGAGGACAGTGAGCGGGACTCCCCAAGGGAGTTGGGCCTCTTTGGTAGGACCAGTACCACAAACTTGAGTCACCAAGACCTGGGGCCACTAAGCCTGAGAAGAACTGCACCCCAGAGCCAGCGGGGCAAATTGCGCAGGAGGGACACCCGTCTCAGACGAATGGGAGGGTCTGAATAACGAGCACCCCCCGCTTCCTTTGTGCTTTGTGACTGGGCCTTCCTCCCCTGGGCCTGGTCAGTGGCAGCAGTAAATATTTACCAAGGGCCCCTGAAGGCAGAGCGCCGTGGGAGGCCAGAGATGGGGTTTTCCTTTGAGACGTGGACAGCCTGGAGAGAATGGAGCTAGGCAGTCATTGCAGAGTGCTGAGTGCTGGGATGGGGGAGGCGGAGGAGGGGGGAGGGCTGAACAGAGCATGTGAGTCGTGGCCTGGCTTCCTAAGCAAGTCTTCAGGCAGGAGTTGGGGTTTGAAGACAGAGGCCTCATCCTTGATTCACAGGCCCGGGCACATAGTAGGTGCTCAGTAAGTGGCTCAGGGTCCCTGAAGTTAGACGGCCCGGGTTCAAGTCCTGTCTCATGCACTAGCTGTGGGGCCTTAAGCACGTTGCTGACCTCTCTGTGCTTCAGTCTCCTGTCTGTACAATGGGGACAATGATAATACCTACTGCATCCGGTGGCTGTAAGGGTTTGTGGGATCAATTCAGGTCCAGCTTCTTGGCCCTGCGCCAGTTTTATGTAGCAGGACGTGCCCAGTAAATAGTAGCCCTTATTCTTGTCCCGTGAAAAATTGCTGTGGGCAGCTGTCACCTTTCCTAAAGGGCCTGTGTCACGCCACTGGAGCCTAGTAGAAAAGAGTGAAGATGAACAGACAGCTGATGAAGGAAAGAGACGAGCCACAGGTGACAGTGTCCTCTCTCAGTGACAACTCAGAGCCAGAGGACAAAACCCTGGGACACCATCAGCATATAGGAGGTGGGACCAGAAGAAACAGCTCAGTCAGGAAACCAAGTGCAACCATCCCAGGTGCCACTAGTATGACATTCACTCAGCCCTGATGGGCTAGTCATGGAGACCCCACTGGAGGCACCTGGTTCTTCCACAGGCCAGGAGGGACCTCGTTCAAGCCACACCCAGTTCCACAGCGTGGGAGAGGTTCTCGGTTCCTTTCTCCAGGAGTGGACCAGACAGCATGTCTGAGCTACGGGAGAAGTAGAGAGAAATGACACCCCACCCTTCCCTACTGTCCGTCTGAAACTCGGCCCTAGTGCCTTGCCCTCAACCCCATCCCATGTGGTCTCAGAGCCCACGGTTCATTGACCAAGGAGAAGGTGACACCTGCGCCTAGTAGGTAACCATATTTAAGTGGGGATTTGATTGTATTTGTCAGACTTTGGGTTACAAGATAGATATCTACTTCACATTTTTGTAAGTGTAAAACAAAAAAGCCATTTGTGTAACTAAAAGGTCTGAGCTGGTCTGGCCTTGTGGGTCTCAACAGCGTCCGCAGGTGATGTGTCTCTCCATCTCTTGACTCAGTTTTCTTTTGTGTGGGCTTCCCTTGGTGACCCCCACTGGCAAACGCCCTGGGGTTGGGAGGTTCTGGTCACCTGTCCATCCCGAAGCCCAGGGCTGTGGTTCAGTAGCATCAGAGTGGACATGCAGAGGAGGCCCCTCCTCCTGCTGCCTTTGGGGGACGTCTTTGCTTCTGGTGCCCCCCCCCCCCCAGTGCTGACGAGGCCACTCGCATCATAAACAGGATACAGTTGACCCTCGAATGGCATAGGGGTTAGGAGGACCTTTTGACTCCCTCAAAATTGAACTAATAGCCTGCAGTTGACCAGAAGCCTTACCGATAACATACTCAATTAACACCTATTTTGTATGTTATATGTATTTATACTGTATTCTTACAATAAAGTAAGCTAGAGAAAAGAAACGTTACTAAGAAAACTTACAAGGAAAATACATTTACCGTATTTATTGGAAAGAACACACAAATAAGTGGACTCGCACAGTTCAAACCCATGTTGTTCAAGTTTCACTGTACTCGATTCCTGTTCATTTCCTCGGGCTGCTATACAAAAGTGACTCTGTCGCTTACACCACACAGATGCATCAGCTGACAGTTCTAGAGGTCAGACGTCTGAGATGGGTCTCCCTGAGCCTAAATCAAGGTGTCAACAAAATGCTTTCCTTTCTGGAGACTCGGGGAAATCCGTGTCCTTGATTTCCAGCTTCTAGAGGCCTGACTTCCGGAGCTCGTGGCCCCGTCCAGCTTCGAAGCCAGCAACGGTTGTCTCTCGGGCGTTCTCACCCCAACACTCTCTGCCCCTCTCCCACCGCCAGTGGGCCCTGGTGATTACATCGTGCCCACCCAGACAGTCCAGGATCATCCCTTTATTTTAAGATCAGCTGGTTTGCAGCCTTAATTTCTTCTCTTTGCCGTCTCAAGATGCTGGGGATCAGGGTATGGCCACCTTTGGGGCTGCTGTTCTGCCTGCCCCAGTTATTGTTACAATGTCATCAGTTCTAGCATCACCCGGTACTTGCAGTGGCCACGGCTACTTGCTAAGTCTTTTACGTGCCTTTAGCTCACTTCGTCCTCATAACCACCGAGTGTGGGGCACAGCGAATATCCCCATTGAGGAAACTGAGGCACCGACAAGTTGATCATTTCCAAGGTCACAGATGTAGTGACAGTAACGCTGGAGCTGGGTCACCGTTCTGCCAGACCCCCAAGGTCTGGCTTTTGAACCAGGATGTCAGCAAATGGAGGATATCAGGAGTCTTAAGTAATAAAAAATAGAGATTCCTTCTGACTGTGGAGGTAGATGGGGTGGTAGCAAAGTTGTCTAGCGCCAGACCACATGGGTTTATGTCCCAGCTCTGCTCATTACTAGCGGTGTGACCTTGGCCAGGTCACCTCACTTCCTTTTGCCTCCCTTTCCTCCATGCTAAAATGAGCATACAAAGCTGAAGTGAATCACCAAGGATGATTTTATTTTGATTTTTTTATTGAGTTAACTTTGGTGAATAATATTATATGTTTCAGATGTACAATACTATAATTCGATATCTGGGTACATTATAGCATGCTTACCACCAAAAGTCTAGTTTCTGTCTGTCACCATATATTTGATCTCATTTACCCATTTTACCTTTCCCCTCTGGTAACCACCATTCTGATGTTTATATCTATGAGTTTGTTTTTGTTTTGTTTGCTTACTTTTTGTTTCATATTCCACATGAGTGAAATCATATGATTTTGTCCTTTTACGTCTGACTTATTTTACTTAGCACAATACCGCCAAGATCCATCCATATCATCGTAAATGACAATATTTCATCTTTTTTATGGCTGAGTAGTATTTCAGTGTGTGTGTATGAGAGAGAGAAAGAGAGAGAGAGAGAGAGAGAGAGAGACCTTCTTTATCCATTCACCCATTGATGGACACTTAAGTTGTTTCCATAGTTTTTTTTTTGTTTTGTTTTTTTTTTTTTTTTAATCCTCACCCGAGGACATTTTTCCATTTTTTGCACAGACAGAGTGGGAGGGAGAGAGAGGAAGAGAGAGAGATTGAGAAACATCGATGTGAAAGGGACACATCGAGTGGCTGCCACCCGCACGACCAACCAGGGCCGGGGACAAACTGCAACCGAGGTACGTGCCCTTAGCGGGAACCGAACCCGGGTCTCTCTGGACCGCAGGCGGACGCTCTAACCGCTGAGCCAAACCGGCCAGGGCTGTTTCCATAGTTTAGCTATTGTAAATAATGTAGCAATGAACATATATCTTTTCAAATTTGTGTTTTCATATTCTTTGTATAAATATCCAGACGAAGAATTGCTGGATAATATGGTAGTTCTGTGTATAATTTCTTGAGGAACCTCCATACTGTTTCCCATAGTGGCTGTACCAATTTGCATTTTTACC